AGCTTAAGAAATACTTTGTCAGATTCTTAATTGACTGGAATGTTAATTGAAGCCTTTTCCTTTACGTGCACATGAAACTGGCTGGATGTGCCAGGAGTCCCCGCAGCGTCGTCGGTACAGCAGAGTATCTGTTACAACATTCTGTCATGATGGTGAGACCTTTAGGGGATTCGCCTCTTGTGCAGCTCTAAATGAAAAATGAAAAACAACCGAAGAGTACTAATGAAAGCAAAGGAGTTCTTTCTTGTTACGGTAACAGAAAACATAAAGTGATGGATAAGACCGAAGACTTTGGGCTGCGCACGCAGTCCAGCTGTGTCGAGCAGGTGGCCAGAACATCAATCAAGTCACTCGTGGACTGAAATGAACGGGATGGTTGTAGAAATGAGGACCACATGGAGGCAAGACACATCTGCAAGGTGAAATAATCTGTTTACTGACTTCATTTACATGAAATGATCTGTTTTAAAGTTCACATTCATTCATCCTATAGCTGCAGTTCTGCTTAACAACTTTCTTCTGTTTTTTTTTATTTTTGTTACCTAATACTTTAAAACCCAGACGACAAAATGTTCTTAAATGTTCCTGTACCAACTCATGATTAGAGTTGTACTCAGGTCCAAAAAATCCGATCCAACCCGGCCCCAGCCCATAGCCATCATTTCTGAACCCCACCCGCTCTGACAAATTAACAGTAATTACAGGTCCAAACCCGACCCCGGACATTTTTAATTAAGCTTTGACTGCTTAGACCACCAACTATTATTAATGGTTGTCGGACGTGCGGCTGAGTAAAGAGGCCAGAAGATTGGAGCTGAGGAGCCATCAAAGCGCATTAAATGCTTCCCCTGCTTCTGCCTGCATTCTGCATTATTCAGACACAGACCATGCTCTGACATGTCGGATATTTTGGGATCTCACCTGTTTGGGTCGTTGGCCGTGCGCGTCCGCAGAGCGCAGCGGCTGAATGAACGACCATTTGGGCGATGGATCGCTGGCAGTAGTCCATCTGATGCTTAACTGAACTTTTTACTTCTTTCAAGACTGGTCAACGCGTGGTCAAATGGCCGCGGGCGGCTGGTGACTGTATGGCAAGACATGTTCTCATATAATTGGATTGTTGGCCGCACACGTCTACTGATGCAAGCAAAAGCCCAACACCGATCCGGCCTGCACATTAAGCACACTATTATGTCCCGGCTCAGTCCGAATCCGGGTTGGGTGGGGCCAGACTTCGGGTCCGGGTTAGAAATGACAGCTCTACTCATGATACAGTTACCTGTACCAGAAATACCAATCAGAATCAATACTCTGAGGATGTAATTACAAACTAAAAATACTACATTTTAGGATGTAGTGAGCCACTTGCTAATAGTACCGTTTGCTAACGGTCAGATTTTTCCTTTTGTCATGTTTCATTAGTTATCCTGTTGTTGTTGTTACAACTGCTTCCTTTTCAGGGGTAACCACAGTCAAGTAAGCCCATGAAAGATTTGGCAGTTTTATGTATGATATATAATAATTATTTTTTTGGATACTGGATACCTTCCTGACGTAACCTGGGCTCGAACCTGCAGCCTCAGGACCACAAGATCGTGGCACTGACCGCTGAGCGACCGCAGCCCGCAGTTCTTCAGTCAGTGTCACATGTTTTTCAGCCATACCTGAGCAGATTGTTCACAGAAGTGAAGCTTTGAACGCTTTGTTCTCTTTGTGAAGAAGAAAATGCCACATGGATCAAACTGTTTGACTGTTTTGATCACAGGAGCTGAAAATGTCACGTCTTGATATCCGTGACTACAGACTTGCTGGAAAACAATCCCTTTTTTGATATTTCCAGATGATAATGAGCCTCGTGTTCGTTCCTGCAGGCTCCTGGTGATAATGACATTTTCTAATCAGAAATTAATAATCTGAAAATACAGACGTGTGTGATTTTTTAAATTTTATTTCTAACTTCTATATCTGCAGAAGTTTGATTTGCAATTATAAATTTATTACGCTTTTTTGCTCGGTAATTTAAAGAACCAACCCAACACAGTCTTACTTTTCATCTAAATCCATCGTTTTTCACATTTCATGGATTTTTTTGGTTTTTGTCAACATTCCTGTGGCTCAGCGAGAGGAAGTAAACATGTCCCCATTTGTAGTCCTGCAAACAAGGCTCTGCTGTTTCTGCAGCGCACCAGACGGCCTCAAATCTCTGTAAATATTTCATATCTAGGCTGCCGTCATGAAGCAGCACGATGAGGGGACTAAAACAATTCTCACAATTTGATTTATTTACTCTGTTGGGAATGTGTTGGTTTTATGATGGATGGAGTTTGTTGTTGTTTTCATGAACTGAAATGAAGTTAACTTTCTTGGATTGTTTTTGGACAAAAAACAAACAAAATAAAAATATATGTATGTGATTTTTAGGTCACTGTTTTGCAGTAACTTACAGTTTGCCTGAATTTTATTAAAGTTATGAATTGTTGCTCCCCATTTGAAGAATAGGACAGAAAATATTTCTTCATTGTTTGAAGGGAAATGTGGATTTTATGATAGACTGCTTTAGTTATAAAAACAGGACAATGAAAATAATGCAGGCTTTTTAGTTTTTATAAGTTTTGTAAACATTAATTTCACACAAACGTCACCAAAATGTTTAGGTTGCAATGCATTCTGGGTAAATGACGTAAGTTTGCTCCACCCAGCTTTAATGGTAAGTTTGGACGATGTCTGGCGTCCAGCCCTTTAATTTGCACCAGAGCTCATCGATGGAGAGGAGAACGCTGAAATGACTCAGACGGTCCTTTTTATAAATATTAATGCACAAAGTCAGTAGTTCCAATGCATTGTGGTCTAGAAAAATGCCTACTTCCAGTTCTTTGACATCAATAATAAACTTTATGTTTGTGTGCATTTGTTACTGTAGCCTCCTTATCAGACAATAAATTATTATAAATTATTCTGAAGTTTGATGTTTTATCGTTGCGTTAACTTTTATCAACAGCTGGTATTCGACCAGTATATTCTACCACAGCTACAGGAAGTAGCTGTGAATGTATTTGGGCACGTGGTGCCTGATTTTATACGTGCATTGGTATCCAAAATGATCCAAAGTGAGTCAAAGAGAAGAGCTGGTTTTTGTGCTGCTGTTTGCAAACACCAAGAGCTCGGCTTTCTATCACACGCTGTTCACGATACGCATCGGGATAAAAAAATATATTATTAGTGAGTTATGCATGAATCACCAGTAGGGGTTTAATAGACTAGTCGATTCTAGCACATCTCACAAGTTTTTAAATTTCACGTCGACTAGTTGCAGTCAGTGATTGCGTCACGTGATCAGCGTTGGGCCGCTGGCTACAAAACGGATTCTTCCAAGCAGCTGGAAGGTGAGAAGCAGGCAAAGTCTTCCCAAACAGGTAGAAATTCATAACAGGGTGGAAGTATTTCACTAAAGTTGATGCTTTTAGTTTAATTTCATTTAATTCATGGTGGGACCCACCACCACACGCCTCCTGGTTTTAGTTTAATTTTATTTAATCCACTAAATAAAATAAAAATGAAAAAACAGGGGTGCGCACCACCAGAGAATCCATCGCGCACCATCCCCGGTGTGCACCACGCACAACCACCGCCGCCATGGTTTATTTTATTTAGTGGATTAAATAAAATAAAACTAATTTTGTCACAAAAGGCTGGTGCTGGTGAACCCAATGGTGCAGGCAGGCAAGGACTCAGGATGGATATAATGTATATAACTAAAGCATTTATTAACAATACAAACGAGCTGTCAGGGCAGCACAAACAAGGAATGATCAGGAGGGTACTACGATGCAGACAAATCATCAGCAGTGAACAGAGGTCAATGCCAGGACGAAGACTAACACAGAGACACAGACTTATATACAATGATTAACGAGGACTAAACACAAACACCTGTCAGGCTCACACAGCTGAAACACATCAGGGGAAATGATAGACTGGGAAGCAAGGGAGCGCAGAAATGGAAACAACACAAGATGGGGCTAGACACCAGGAAACAAACCATGATCCTACAAACTTTTGCAGCTTAATACTTTTGGTTTTCCTGTGACTTATTTGCAATATAATAAATGGTACGACCATAAATATACGCTCCCGATGTTTTGTTGTTCTTTTTAAATTACTTTTTTTAGCGTCTTGAGTTCCTATGATGTCATCAACTAGTCGACTCGACTGTTATCATATTAATGTCGACTTAAAACATTATGTAGTCGTTCAACCCCTAATCACCAGGAGTGCACGAGGGACAGCAGTCCAATGCCGCCCTGCAGATGGAGGACGACTGAGGTTTGTGGGGGGCGGCCCAGAATGCAATGCACCAGTAAAATAATGGTGACATCCTTATGTGAAAATTTAATTTTTTTAAGTAATTAGGAGTTTTAATGTGTCACAAACAATAACTTTTAGTAGAATAAGGAAATAACAACATATTAAGGCCAACATGTGCAAGTAGCCAGAGATCCCTTAAAAGAAAAACGTTACATTCGTTTTCCTGTTGTCACTTTTAATGTATAATCTTTTCGATGCAGTTCGAACTTAATACGAAACTAAACCCAAACTATATAAATGAAGTGAATGCAAATCATGTTGATTTTAGTGAAAATTGGGAGCTTTTCTATGTTACCAAGAGCTGAAAGTTGCAATGTGGTAAATAATTTGAACCTTTAGCAGGTGCAGATGAAAGCATACACAGTTTTATTGGCTCTCTTTGTGTTCAAACCATTTAAACAAATGTGTTTTAAAAATGCCAGCAACCCATTAAAGTTAGGAGAAAACTTACTCATATTTTAACAGATTTATTGACTTTACAGCCATATTCAATCAACTGTAACCATCTGAGGCAACTTAGCATTTGTTCCTGCTTTATAGTCTTGAAACGAACAAAGTCCATTTGAGTTCAGATATCGTCTTCTGATCCAACTTTTTTCCTTGTCTGACTCATTCTGACCTAATCTCCATTCCAGCGCTCGCCTGGTTGGACGCCCAGCTGTTCACAGAGCCGTCCCTGCTGACAGAGGAGGAACCAGAACCAGGCTCTGTTTTGGTGCAGATAGCAGTCCTGAGCAGCAGACAGAGCTGCTCCTCATCCCACTTACAGATGATTGTGATCTTTGCTCTGCTGAGATTAAATGAAAGAGAAGTGGAGGCCAGAGATGCAGCTCAGAGAGCAGCAGGACGACCCTCAGGCGAAAGGCTGTATTTTTCAGATGATGATGATGATGATGGGGGTATTGGTATAAAACAAAAGCTCTCCCCGAGTCTGGGCAGCCTGTGTTTCTGCATCAGGGAGTTTGGGGGTAAATGTGTTACAACGTCAGATCTGGATGAATGAGTTTTAGCACACATGAAAAAGTTCAGTCTGAAATAGAAATGTATGAGTTATGGCGTTGTGGTAAATTGAGGTCTCTCCAACACGCTAAAACATTGATTTGTGATGTTTTTTTTTCCTGGAGGGATGGGAGCCATATGGGCTTTTAGATGTCAGACTCCACGGCTGTATTAATGATGAGTGTGCATGCGTGCATTATAAATTTTGTGAGGCTATTTAGCAAATTTGGCCGACGCTTGCTCGCCATGTGTGCTCCGACTCGAGCCTTCACTCAAATATGAACATTAAACTTGTTTAAATGGATGTGATTCAAACAAAGACTCAGAAATGTCCAAATATTAAAAGTTGCACCTTCTCCTTTTGTCGTCATGTATCAGAGCTGTCTGGGAGGTTTTTAACACAACTTTAACAGAAATGCATAAAGAAGGTGCAAACAAGCACATGTTCGACAGAAAATTATAAATAAATCCTATGGTAATTCTCGCTGGGTGACAAATTACCATAAACCCACTTTGTAGTTTATTTTGACTCAGTAACACTGCAGCAAATATTAAAACATAAAATGTGTAATTATTCACAGCTGAAAATAGATGCAGCTCACTAAAGCTACATTTGCTTAAAGCTGCTGTGTGAAAGCTAAATCATGAGCGTGAAGCTGACTGTGTGCAGGAAAGAGTCGTCGTTATTCTGCCGTTACCGTTCGGCAACTTAGTTTTGTTTAGATTTTATATTTAAAAAACAGATGCCATGGTCTGTGTTAGATTACCTTGGTTTACTTTTATCTTTGCCGTTTTTTCATTTTAAGTTAATTTACCATTTGCTATTTTACATTTGTACTTCACCGAAGATTATTACAGACTTGTAAATGTATAAATAATTCATATCGTCTGCAAAATATTTAATTTTAAAATGTATCCATGTTTGTTGTCAGTTCGTCACTGCGTTTGATTCAGTTGTAGTTATTTAGGATGAGTGAGCAGATTTCTGACATTAAATCTGGAGACCCAGAAGAATAAAATGTTATCAAGATGAAACTAAACATGGGGACAGTTACGGTTTCTTTTATTTTTTACACATTTATTCATGTTTAAACAATAGAAATCAAATGTAGCAGCAGGAATGTGTCTCTCCACACACATTTCCTAAGAGTAATAAAACTAATATCTTATCGTACAAGCTAGCCCACGTTGAAGCTAAACGTAGCAACGCTACAAGCTAACACAAGGCAATCAATGAGCTAACATAAGCTAACCAATACTGCCACGCCTACATGCTGAGCCTAAAAAAACAAATCAAAGGTCTGGTCGGTGGAAAAGTTGTCTTATGGAACCAGACGGAACATTTTGGGGACTTATTGTAAATGGACCGTGTTTGCTGAAGCCGTCTTCACGGCTGTGGTCCAGAGCGTGGGTTATTGCATGCACTAATCTACTTGTTTCATTATTTCCCTCCTCTTGTTGAAACGTGTCCTGAGATGTTGAAGTTGTGCTTCAGCGCTCGGACACATCAGTTCACTCTTGACTCGCAGAGATCAATCTGCCGTGAGACCATAGACCTGGTTCGTGTATCGAGCTGCCTCGTCAGTACCCCTCACGCTGAGCAACGTATTTGACTTTGGACCTTTTATTCTGTAAAACCGAATCTTTATTACAACGGATTAGATCTCGCCGCTGGACTGATCGATCGAGCAGGAAGCACAGATGTTTACGACCAATTTGAAATCCCTCACCGTGTTTTGTTTTGGAGCTGGATGTTCCGCCTCGTTTCCTCAGACATAATCTCCACCGTGTTCGTTTTCACAAGGCGGCTCTTGGTTTGCTTTAAAGAATCGACTGGTTTCATTAAAACGAGCGAAAGCACTTAATTATTTTTAGATTGATCCCTGCTGCCTGTTCGAACCGATCTGAGAAAAGGACGTTTAAATTGTCTTCACGTCGACTCTGCTGCAAATTTAAAGCCAATTCCATTTCATGACTTTAAAGCTACTTTATCGATTCATATTTATTAATACACTGTAATAAAGAGTTGTGAATAGGAGTAAAAATAAATCATTTACTTTATTTCTTAATCAGTCTTAACCCTAAAACTAACCTTTGACAATGTTCAAAGAGAGGTTAATGTTAACTTTCTAGAACAAACAATACATATTTAACTTTAAAATTGTGTAAGTCATCAGCATGTAAAATACAATAGAATGCATGTAATGTTAAATAATTTAATTATTTTATCTTTTTATAAAAGGTAGCACTCAGTGTGATTCAAGATATTTTAAAATATCAGTTTGCTTTCATTTGATCACGTTTAGCACAAAATGGTTTACAGCACCAATAACAATAAAAATATATTCTATTTGTTAAATTTTAACAATTTGTGTTTCACTGTTGTAAAGATGCGTCATAAAAACACAACTGTTGTAATGTACGGAAGCCCAGAAAGAACATGATTAGAAATTCATTTTCCTGAATGTATTTCCAAATATCTGATCTAAACTATCTTGTTATCTTTGGATAACAACAACGCTCGGTCAATATTTAGTGATTAATTCATTTTTATTTGGAAAGGTGGGTTTGTTATAGGTGAATAAATTTATTTATTTTGACTCATAAAAGCTCATTTTATGATAATCAACATTTTTAACATTAGAAGTAATCAAAAGGGAAACTGTAATCTTGAGGGTTAACTTGAAAAAACTAATGTTTTCTCTAAATAAACATCAATTAAACAATCTAAAATAATAATACCGTATGTTTCGGACTATAGGGCGCATTAAGCGAAACAAAACGGATAAGTCAAACTTTATTAAACTCTTTCACAATAACTAGTCTCAACATTGTTGAGTTATATCATATAAAATTGGTTCGAGGTCAGTAAGCCCAACCAGGATTAACACATAAGGTGCACCGGATTATAAGGCTCACTAGATTTTCTGAGAAAATTAAAGGATTTTAAGTGCACCTTACAGTCCGAAAAATACGGTAATTGTGTCTGTCTCTTTTCGGCCTCCATAAAAGTCCCTTTTAATTCTCTGTGAACTCTGTGTTGCACATTTTTGCTGTTTGTGTGTAATCAAACCTTTAATTAGGACAAAACACCCAAACAGAGTGGAGGGGTGTCTGCAGTCCGGCGCAGCGAGGAATGTCCAGATCTCTAAATTGGAGAAACCACAGACGCATGGCTCAACACAGGACAGCCAGCTCTTCAGGACAAGACGCAGCAGTTCACCTACATCTCAAGGATAAGGAACACTCTTGAAGACCAAAATGGTCACATTTTGCATCAAGACAGATGGTTTGAGAGAAGAAAGCATGAAGGAAGCCATCTATATAAAGAGAGAAACCATCTTTAAACAGAGGAGGAGGTCTCAGATTTCAGCTTTCAAAAACTTATAATGGAGTTTTAGGCCTGATACCCAGTTTAACACCAATCAAGACCTTTAGTCATGTGACCAGAGTGGCCCATCTGTGAGTCAGACTAACAAAGACCCTAACGATTCTCTATTGTGAGGAGTGCGAGGTCAATCTGCATGCGTCAATCTGCATTATGCAAGTTTACAGAACACCTCAGCTTTATGACTCGAACTCCACACTTCCTGTTCTGTGAATCGAGAAAGCTCCTCGGATGAGGAGCGAAACATCTTCAGCTACTGAACCGAGGTCCAGTTTTTGCTTTTAACACGTCCTGGATGACTGAGAATCTTCACCAGCCTAATAAACACTTTACTTTTTCAAAACCATTTAACTTTTAATACTTTAAACCTTTCCTGTACTCCCATGTGATAATCATGGAACCAGACACCAGTAATAACAAATCAGGGCTCTTTTATTTGAAATGGTTCACTTTTTTACACACCAACATTTAACGCGACAAGCCTTCATGGTCCCACTGGCTCCGATCGGTCGGTGACGATCGGTGCTGGATAACAACTGGAATGACGTACGATGGTTGACCTCTCACTCACAATCATACAGAACACATCCACACACAGATGTAGAGACAAATGCAAAATAAAAACACGCAATACGACACAAACTAACCATCGAACACAGTCTAGCCATCTAATGTAGACATCAGAGAAAGAGCTTAAAGTGCATACAGGAACAGAGGAGGGCCTCGTTAGCTCTCATCACCAGTAACAATCTATTTTTTTAAATTATAAGAGACAATAATCCTCCACAGAAGCAAAGATCTTAGTACCACACCATTGTAGCTTCACAAAAAGAACATCCCTACTGCGTCTTCAGCTCAGACTCTGCCTCGGATCATGACGTAGTAACACTGCATAGTTCACAGGGTTAGTTTTATTCATTATTGCGATACGACGTACTGTAGGTCCAAGTCCTGGGTCTGGGTACGAGCCATGGGCTGTGAGGCAGCTCAGAAAGCCCGTCCAGTCTGGGTTGGAGACAAAAATCCAGCGCAAGAAGTTCTCCGTACTTCACTGCTTTGAATAAATAATCCGTACCAGGAGAGCCGACTTAAACGGTCCCAACATGGCATGAAGATGTTCAGTACCCCAGATGCATAGAAGGAAGCTGAAAGGAGTCCTTAGCCCAGTCTGGGTGGTCCACACGGGTCCAAGTCCTTCTGGATCAAACAGCTCAGTAAGGAGCAAAGAGGATAGGTGGGTGAGAGGTCCTGACAGGCCCAGGGGCCGGGCGGAGCAGCGCAGCATGGAGGTTCTGAGTCTGGAAGAGGCCGGAGGTCAGCGCCGGGTTGAAGGCGTTGTTCCTGCGCTGCGTGAAAGAGTGTCCAATGGCGGCGACAGCCATCGCTGCCAGGTGGGCGGGCAGGATCTGAGCGGTGAGGGGCTGACATCGACGCTCCTTTCCCAAAATTAACTTTATCTGTGAGGAGAGACAAGAAACACGCCAGTCAACACCAACGTTCATCCAACGCCACAGATGTTCTTCTGTTTGGGTGTAAGCAAAAGCGTTTGCAGTAGAGTCCATGCTGAACGAGAGTACGGCGCACGGCACATTAAACTCCCTCCACAAACTATTTTTTATGCAGCGATCTACATCAATGTCCAGGACAAACAAAAACTTTGTTCGACCTTGGAAAGGAAAAACAGACCAGTGACCATTTTCCAGTTCAGTCCGTTTCATCTACATGCATCAATAATAAAAAAAAAGAGTTAAATAAGAAGGAAAGAGAAAGTCACCTCAGATGAAAGAGCTTAAGAAGGCTGGGGTAGATGAGGGAGGTGGTGACCGGTGAGACTAATGGAAAATTAGCTGATGACACATGTGGACACTAAAGAACTCAAGGCAAGTGATCCGAAACTGAAGTGTCTGATGAAAAACACACGAAACACCGTGACTAACCCAAGAAGATTCAAAATGACAAAATAAACCAAGCAGTAAACACAAGCCACAGAAAACTCTCAAAGTTTGTGATGGCGATGACTCTCAGCTACCACCACACCAAATTCTAGGTCAATATCTTTAAAAATGACTGACGTATACATTTGCTAATGTCTATTAGCTATGGCAGCCATATTGAATCAGGTTGACCAAACGTTAAGTCGTTGTAGAATTATCTCCAACTGTGACTTTGAGAGTTTCAGCCCGTTATATTCATGAGATATTTTGCTAACAGACAAATATGGTGACTCCAACAGTAAAAGCCATTTTTTTAAACAAAGATTGTGTGATTTGTTGGCAGTCAGAGTGTGTGTTTGAGACAACTGTTAGCTACTACCACACTAAATTTTAGCTCAACGTGAATGAAATGATCAGAGTTATGGACTATTTTGTGATTAGTGTCAATCAGCTGTATCAAACATCTTAAAACAAGTTGACCCTTAAAGATAATCAGCCGTAAATGCTTGTGACTAATCTTAGAAAGTTTCATTAAAATCTGACGACTGGTTCAGGCTATTGCATCACCGGCTAATCTGGACATTAACTATGGATTATCGAGTGCTTGACATAAAAAAGTACAACCAAAACCTGAAATACAAATATAAAAAATAAGCCTCAACTAGATTTAACATTTGCATTTCAAAATGTCTGTATTTTATGTGTGGCTGAGGTTTAGTAGTTGCATTTGGCCGTCGGCAGCAAACTACTCACAGAAAACACCAGAACCCTGAGACAGAGCTGTGGGGAACTCCCAGAGCCTTCTACGCCTTCAGAGAAGGCCTAAGAATTCAGCAAATATTACGTTACGTTTAAACTTGATTTAATATTTAGTTTATAAAAAGTGTGTATTTTGACTGCAGTTTGTTTTTAATTTTGTTCAGGTGTGAAAGATTAGTTACAAAACAGTCCAAGACCTTCAGCAACACCTCTTCAAACCCCTGAATACAGAAAAATATTCATCTTAACATTGTTTCACATAATGTTGGAAACGAGCAGGAGAATTTATCTTAAAACATCTAAGGTTGTTGACGGGGGAGAGGGCGGGCCCGGAGGCCATCTTAGCACCAGCAAACAGTTTTTTCCACTATGGATTATGCTGTTCGTTGGAATCAGTTTGGCGTCTCCTCAGATTGAAGAAGTTCTTTGGGATGAAGGGCAAAACGTCTCAGCTAAAAAAAAAAGAAACCGTGCAGACGACCTGGCTGAACATTGTTGGATTTTTATCTGGATTACTGAGCATGAACTTTGGTATCAAAGGTTGTGTTTCTGCAGCAGGCAGGGGAGCGCTCAGAGGACGGGGCGAGGCGTTCAGGTGCTATTCATCTGATATGATCGGTGATGACGCTCCAGATGCTGAACAAGAAAAATACAATAGCCCATTCTTTTCTAAAAATTTGTTCCACCAGGATAATCTGTAATCTGAACATGGAGCACGGAGGAAGTCTGTCTGAGAGCTGAAGGATGAACTGCTGACCGTGTTTTCAGAACATTAAACGTGACAAAATAAACACGAGGAAATGAATCCTAAAAAACATCATTTCAAATGACAAGTTGTAACAAATTGATAAATCAGATAAATAAATGACACGACAACCCTTGTGGGGTGAAAACGTCACCGAAGTGATCCGGCTTAATGTTCTGTATCAGTGATGGAAAAGCTCGGTTCTCCCAGCGAAGCAGCCGTCGTCACGGGTCATCAGGGACCGAGCCGGGCGTCCGAACCCTACGGGAAGCGTTCTTTACTTTGCGCTCATCAGAGACGCTCCTCTCCGTTAACTCAGTCAATGATGGGTTTCACAAAAAGCCATTTCCCCCTCACTGGCAGAACCTCCTGCTTGGACCTGACAAAGAGGGAGCGATGAATCCGTCTGTGCCGTTTGGAAGCTGAATCCACACGGCTCTCTCTATTCATCGCACGTGGCAATCCGAAATATTTTAAACAAACGTTTCTGCTCATCCGGAGAGTCCAGAAAGTTTAACAATCCCCGCAGGTAAATAAAAAGTTACTTCTGTTCCCTCTTATCAGCTCGCCCGACTCTTAAAGCGTTGATGCCTGAGACCACGTCGCTCCGAGGAAGTTAAAGCTGACGTTTACGATCACCTCTAAACCGCAATCGACCCGAGTCTGCGTTCCTGCTGCAGCGAGCTGGATCCGACGGGCCGTCACGCCTGCCATTTGGGTCACTAAGACGTCCTTCCCTGCCGCCAAGCTCTAATAAGAGCCGGCTCACCAACAGGCGGTCCACTTATAGAAGGTGACATTTTACTAAATCAGGCGCTGCCGGCTGGACGGACCCATCAGGAGCAGAAACCGATTCGTCCAACTTTCTGTAACGAGACAGGAGCTGAAGCAAATGAAGCCTCAGCAACTAAAACAGCTGGAGGAGAGGAGAGCATGTCAAACATCCATCTGCTGCTAATAAGTGAAGCAGACAGTCATCCAGAAGGTTAAAGGGAGAGTCCGGGCGTTTTGAAGCGATGCTCTGTCAAATAGTTATCAATAAGAAGAACTTGATCAGCCGTGACATCAGTCAGCTGGAGTCGACTCGTTGCAGCTTCGAGTCTTTCCGTTGGAAGGTCCCACTCACTTCCAGCTCGGTTCTTTGGACCCACTCGACTGAAGATTAAAGCCGCGTGGCGCTGAAGATGTGACATCAGCAGACTGCAGGCCGCTGATTGGCCAAAGAGAGACGTCAATCATGAGAGCGCCTCCTTCCCAAGAATCAACCCGCCCACTTTTAAAACCTCACAGCTGCACCATTTGTTTTGGTAGTTTATTATTTTAAAATATATCTATGGCGGCACAATGACTCGGTAGAGCTGCTGCCTCTCAGCGAGAAGGTCGTCGGTTCAAATCCTGGCTGGGGTTCTGGGTGCAGTTTGCATGTTCTCTCTGTGCTGCGTGGGTTTTCTCCAGGTACTCCGGTTTCCTCACAGACTAAAAACATGCATGTTAGGCTGATGGGTAACTCTAAATTGTCTCTGGGTGAGAGAGAGGGAGAGAATGATTGTCTCCGTGTCCCTGAAATGGACTGGAGACCTGTCCAGGTGTCCCCCGCCTCTCGCACAGTGACATGGATGGAATATATCCATTAAAAAGACAACACTGTGGTATTCTGAGATTTGTTGGCCGACGACAGAATTCAGACGGAGCGGACCAAATGGGCTCAGCATGAGCTCCGACCGATGAAGGGCAGAAAGTCTTGACTGGACCTGCGCATGTCAGAGGACGGTGACAGATTTGTGACTTTAACTCGTTTGATGAGCCGTCCACATCGAGGCGGCACAAAACTGCAGAGCGTGCAGAACCGAGTCGAGTCAAATTAAGTTAGTCCTGCAATTCAGTTTAAAAATAAATAAATAAATCGAGTCAACTTTATTTATAGAGCACAGTTAAAATCAGAAATTGTTATTAAAGTGCTTTATTTTATTGCCAATTTTTCAAGGATCATCAGGAAGTCCCAGTAGATTTGTTTTAATCAGATTTGTAAAAGACCCTGGGAAGACCCTCCACCACCTTTTAGCGTTTTATACCAAATACTCATACACATTGTAAGAGGTTTGATCTTTTAAATACAAACTAAAACCATTTTTTGGGATCAAATGAGACTGGACTCCACTGAAACTCGTAGCCGAGAAAAATGTCTCTCAAATGTGAAAGTGGAGAATTATCTACTGGGCTAGACAAAAAAATATAAAATAAATCGACCGTTGAGGGAAAGATGTGACGAAAAAGACAGTAACTGAAAATAATGCATTATTTTATGAGTCCGTATAAAGGATCAAAACATGCATTTATAGTGGATTTCAATATTTTTCTGGAGGGTCATAAAGTGAGTAGGAGTGAAAAAGTCTAAAACTTTTTAAGATCGGTCCGAGTCGGTCCTGTTTACTGACAGCACGATCAATAAAACATAAATAAGAACAACCAGAAATGAATGTCAGATTTTTCCCCTATGAGTCTGAGGGTTAAATATCTAAAGTAACATTCTTTCACGCCAGTATTTTGAGGAAAAACTTGTTTTAGAAAGCGAACCCGTCCTCGTTTGGCTAGCATTAGCCTAGCCTCGATGAAGACTTCGCTCCTTCCTTCACGCTGCGCTCTGTGACCGGTGTCATGGCTCATGAACTTCTAACTATTGATCATTCTCGAACAGAACAACACTTCAAACATGACCGAGCTCTCTCTTTTAAGCAAACGAGTCACAGCGATTGTGCCGACGGCGAGGTTCGTGCTGCTGATCGGCTGATCGGTGACTCACCGGCGGTTTGATCGGGCCTTTCTGGGGTTTACTGTAGGGGCTGAATTTGGGTTTCGCTGGTTTCCCTGCTGCTCGGTCTTTATGACGCCGACTGCTGATGTGCTGGTGGGGAAAAACGGAGAGAAAGAAATATTTACATTTTCTATCACACGTTTTAAAATTACGGTTGAGTTTTTATCCCCCGTGTGCTGCTACCAAACCATTAGCATCAAGATTTCTGGAATCCAGTAAAGCCACTGAACTCGCGTCTGTTTTAATTTAGAGGCTATGAACTGCTGAGCCGAGTCAGAAACACGCCGTTTCCGATAATCCAGTAAATCTGGTAACGCTCAGACGTCCCAGCTTTTCACCAGCCTTGAACGCAGCATTGACTTAGTGAATCTGGAGCGGTAAGACACTATCAAATATCTGGGTTTAATCTTAAACAAAAACTGCAAAATACATTAAATGAACTATAAGTCAGGCTAGAATAAACCCTGAAGGCTCACAGAGGTATGATGATAAATTAAGTTGTGTTTTAGTTTGTTTTGCTGTAATCCTGCTTTGATAAAGGATCTTCAATCAACCTTTATTTATACAGGTAAATCCCATTGAGCCTCGAGGACTCATTTACAAGAGAGACCTGATTTCAACAAAGAAAGATGACAACAATGGACAACAGCAACAACAATAAGCAGTTATAAAAACTCATACTACAGTTTTTTTTTTTTTTTTTTTTTTAACAAATAGGATGGCTAAAAGGAAAAAGGTAACAAAACCAAAAAAACTGCTAGATTCCAAGACAAATCAAATGGCATGATATCTTGATATCTTGGCAGCTGATAAACTAAATGTCTTTGTGCCCAAAATATAACCTTTATTTAATTAATGCAGAGGTGATGAATGGTTTTATTAATTAATGATCAAGCAGCATGTGTGTGTGAAGTGTTTGCACCTTTTTATTAGTAAATTATATTTAAAAAAAATGTTAAAGTGCAAAATGACCAAATCAATTTTCTGTGATGCATCAACGACAAAATGTGCTGAAAATAAAGAAACAGTTCAGATATTTGTAATTATTTTACCTTTATTTCTGATTAAAGTAAAGCAGAAATACAGGAATTTTTAAAATATAAACCAAAACTTTTTTTAAATTAAATTATTATTATTTTAACGTATAACAACTTTTATTTTGTAAAGCAGGTTTTGATCAGATCTTTAGTTTTTATCAGCGACGGGCAATAAATCTCTGCAGTTTGACACAATTCATCGGATCAGTGTAAACGTTGATCCTCACACGTCTAAAGATTTATTAATTGTATTAAAACTTTAATTAATGGGCCTCGTGAAAACACGATCCGAGATGGTTCCGATGCTTTAATTTATGTGACCAGTTGGGTCAAGACACGAGGTCCAGACAGGAGAAGACCCAGAATCTTAACTTCCTGTTGGAAGCCCCGCCCCCATGTCACAATGATGGCGGAGCGGTTTTACTAAACGGCACGTCTGGTTCTGGTGGTGAACACCGGAACGTGGCTGAAAGACGGGAAACAGCTGCTGAGTCCGACTGAACCAGGAAAAGGGAGATCTTCTCAGGCTGGTCAATCGTTCAGTGTTGCATGGAGGATGGAGCAACACGCCGACTTCAGTTGGCCTCGATTTACCGATGGTGCACCTTTACTGGGTGTCAAACTGGAAGTTGTCTTCATCACACTGGTTCTTTTTGGTTGTTGCTGTTCGGATACACCAAACTCAGACCGACCCGTTTGTTTGTTTGTTTGTTGTTCCAGGGAGAATTGTCAGAAAACCTGGAGTGGTGTTCAGGTTTCGTGGAGGACGTTCTTGACACGATGATTTGATGGCGCCCTGAACAAATATGGATTCAACCTGACGTTAAGAAAAGATGTTTCTCCTGAAGCAGCTTCAGAAAGCTGCGCTGACGAGGAGAGTGGAGACAGGTGAGACCGATGAAAACAGAGAACAGGTGTGGAACTGACGGAGGAGAGATGAACCAGTGGCTCAGCTAAACACAGAGCAGCAAACAGAACCTTAAACGAGAACCAGAAAGGAATAAACCATCCATCCTCCGTCCGTCCGTCCAACCATCTGTTCTTCTGTCCATCCATCATTCATCCATCCATCTGTTCATTTTTTTGTCCATCCATTCGTCTATCCATCCATTTATTTGTCCATCCAGCCATCCATCCATCCATCTGTCCATCATTTGTCCATCCATCCATCTGTCCAGCCATCATTCATCATTGTTCA